TATAAAATGCCTGTCCCGGGCTCAGCAGCTCCCTCCTGTGCGATGAGCGGTGCCGAGTCCGCTCCACTCCCACGGCATCTTACAGCTTGAGATGTGCTATAAAACCCAGCGAAAATGGGTAAAAATAGGCTGATGGCGTTTAGCGGAGGAAGTATCCGTGCAGGAACAGAAGTTGCCCGTTGCAGCAGATGCTGTAGTATCATCTTGGCCAACTCGGAGGTTTGGCGGGGAGGAAAAAAGGAGCTCAGCTCACCAGCGCTTTGTGTCTGCCCGTCCTGGTTGTAAATCATCGTTTACTGACTTCGGAAACCGCCCCGCATGCAAATAAATGTCAATATTTGTGTAGAAATGTAAACTCGACTGCAAACCTCTTAACGTCTCCACCAAACTGGGACAAACCCAATACCTTTTTATTTTCCCTAAGGCTGCTGTGTTGGCTGCCTTGATTCCGATGCTTATCCTCAGCCTTCCCTCTCTGTTGCTTTTTGATGCTGCGGGGGGCAAAAAAAGAAGATAAGTTAGTGTCTTTTTCCTCGAGGATGTGATGTCGGTTTGCGGTGATGGAGGGATTGCGGTGGAGTAGCAGTAAATGGTGTTTTCGGGAAGGCTGAGTGATGATCCCCGTGCTTTGCATGGAGATAACCTCTCATCCGCGCTCCTCGGAGAGCTGCAAAGGTGCTCTGCAGATGGCTCAGAGCCGTCAAGGGGAGGGAAAGGCAACCTTAGAGCGGAGGAAAGATGTTAATAACATTTAAATGTAATTCTTCCCATTTCTCAGCTCCTAAATGTGAAAAATATTAGCTTGGTGGAGACTGGAAACAGATGGTGAGCAGTTGGAGCAGATAAGCATGTTATTCAAAATAAACAGTCGCCAAAGCTGGGGAGGTGGCGAACCATATTTCATTTCACCCTATTTACATGATGGGGTCAGGTTCCGCTGCTGCTGCTGCCTCGCGTTTGCATTGGGATTATCGACAGGGAGCTCTGCCACGCGAGGCCTTTTCGGCAGGCGTATTTGGGCTGGATTGCATGGGTTTGGGCCATTTCCCTGGCTTTTGCTCCAGGATGCTGTGTTTGAGCTAGTTGTTGTAAAACAAGGGCCTGAGGGCGCCAAGATGCCCTCATTTCCAGCTTTCAAATGGTCTCTCTTCACTTTTTTTACGTGCTTTCACTCCTGAGACTCTGAAGCAGTGGGCAAACCCTTGTACACCGTTGTGTGTTCAAAAGACATCAACTAAACCCCAAACCTGGTTAATTTACAGGCTTGCAATCTCACCACTTAGTGGTTAAAGCCTCACTGGCAGGGTCTGATTTTGAGACTGCTCTTTCTGTCCTGCAAAATGTGCGCTTTTTTTTTCCTCTTTATTTCTTCCAATATGGTTCATGTTTTGGCTCATGGAGAAAGCTGGGGTGGTCAAGGCTTCAAATGGGTTTGTGGGGGGCAGTGGCTCAAAAAAATGCTTCCTAATTTAAGAGCTGCCCATCGCCTCTTCGAAATGTGACCGTGTGTATTTGGGAGACGCAACCTGGGAGCCGCGGCCCCGGCGAGGATGCGAGGCAGGTTGACGATCTGCTTGTTGCTAATAAATCCCCGTCTCCCAGCCTGATATTATTCTGCCATCTGTTGGAACTGTGGCTTGAATTTTGGGAAGCCTCAGGGGAGGAAATCGTTTGTGTCTGGCTGCCCCCTGGGCTGTTCCCGGCCCTTTTTCTGCAGTTCCTGATCTTGCTTTTGGCCAGAATATGTGACTTATTTTTTATTTCTTCTGCCTTTTCCCTTTTCTCAAGCCCACAGGCATGGAAAGATTAACAAAACTGCTTCTTTATACAGTTTACAGCAGGAGTGAATGCTAGCCATTCTTCAGCGGTTACCTATCACAGCAACACTCTCTTTCTCCTAAAAACACCATAAATGGAAGACTTCTTCTTTTAAAGAAAATAAACAGGATGAAATCTGCCCCCTCAGAGCAGAGGAGCAATGAAGACCCCAAATTTCGTGCTGGTGTGCAGCCCTGTGGTCTCACATAGCTCTTTCCCCTCTCCAGAAAGAGAACCCATCAGCCGTACTTCATCTTAAATTAAAAAGGAGCATATGTCAGGCTTGGATGAGACCTGGAGCAAATGCGGTGCGTACTGGAATGGAGACTCAGATGAAACTCGCTGGAGGGCTGAGGGGTTCAGGTGTATTCAAAGCTCGGGGGCTTTTGAGTCTCGTGCACACCTGGGCTCCCAAAATGGGACACACGAATATGTAGGGCACGCAGCACAACCCGAAATGCGCCTCTGCAGCTGCCCTCGCCCAGACAGAAGCTCTGCAGCTGCCCAAATCTGCAATTTGGGGTAATCTGGGCTGCATCAAAGCCAAGGCTGAAACAGCATCGCCGTGATCCGGCTTCGTTTTGCTGCGAGTGAATCGGCTTCCCCTGCTGACGCCTCTTTCCCCGGTGGAATTTTGCAGGAGCCGGGTGCGAAGCTGAGCCCGTGTCGCTGCAAAATTTGGGTGTTGGGTGTTGTGCCATCAACACCTTCAGGCCGTGTCCTGCAGGCACTGCTTGCAAAATAACACTTGTGTTACCAAAAAAACCGACACTTGTAAATAACATTTGTAAGTGTTTTTAAGCCCAGGTAGGGCTTGGAAGGAGGAGTTTTTGAAGGAAGACAACCCCAAATTTCCCGTTTACTCAGTCGTTGGAGAGAATGATTCTTCTTAAAGCCTCACAGAATCCCAGACCGTCAGGGATTGGAAGGGACCTCCAAAGCTCATCCAGTCCAATCCCCCTGCCGGAGCAGGAACACCCAGATGAGGTTACACAGGAAGGCGTCCAGGCGGGTTTTGAATGTCTGCAGAGAAGGAGACTCCACAACCTCTCTGGGCAGCCTGGGCCAGGGCTCTGTCACCCTCACTGAGAAGAAGTTTCTTCTCCAATTTCAGTGGAACCTCCTGTGTTCCAGCTTGTGTCTGTTACCCCTTGTCCTATCATTGTTTGTCACCGAGAAGAGCCTGGCTCCATCCTCGTGACACTCACCCTTTAAATATTTATACACATGAATGAGGTCTCCCCTCAGTCTCCTCTTCTGCAAACTAAAGAGCCCCAGCTCCCTCAGCCGCTCCTCAGAAGGGAGATGCTCCACTCCCTTGATCATCTTTGTAGCCCTACGCTGGACTCCCTCCAGCAGTTCCCTGTCCTTCTTGAACTGAGGAACTCATCCAAATAATCTCACAGCATTTGACTCTTTGGGATGATTTCAGATCGCTGCTGGTGGGACGTGCAGGCGTTTTGAGGAGCACCTCGGCACCATACAATCACTGAGATGACGTTGTTGGTGAGCCAGTAAATATTTCTGAATAGGAAAATGCAGCAAAAAGAGCCCAGGAGGGCGGTGTTTCCACAGGAACCATTGCCCGGCCTCATTTTTAGCCCCAGCTCAGCTCAGGGCTGACTCAAGTCCTCATCCGCAGCCTGGTTTGCTCACTTGATTCTCGTTAAACGGATGCATTTAGGCTGTAAACGAGGAGTTTTAGGAAGATGCTTGTTATCTGCGTTTATAGATGCCCCAGGTCATTAGAGGAAGCTTTTAAATTTAACAGCCCTGTTTGCTGTCTGTCAGAGCGAGCTGGGAAAAGGAGGTGTTGGCTTCTTGTTTTGGTGTCTAATGCAGTCGCTGGCTTTATTTTGGGGTTATAAATTCAATGGAGCTTCCCCCCTCACACCCCCCACCCATAATTTCACCAAATTAGTTCTGCTTTCCTCACGTGTCCTGGGAGAGTTTCAGGAGGAAAAGTGGGAAAACCTTAAGGATTGGTTTCGCTCTGTTTCTCTCCCATGGCAATACCGGGTTGGCCAAATACACCTAGGAAAGAGGGATTCATAGGAGGGGCTCGGTATTTGGGGTGTCTGTGTTAAGATTAATAGCAGTTTCCCATGGCTTCGTTATCTCCCCGCTTTGGTCGTGCAAGCCAAGCCTGGATTGATTGATTGATTTTATTTAGAGCAAGTTTAAATAAATAAAGACACAAACTTTTGGCCATGGAAGCATCGTGGATGCAGGTTTATAGCAATTCCAGCCCCACCAGCCCGGTTGCACCAAAAGGGCAGGAAGATGTGGATTTTCAGCCTGTATTCAGCTCTGCTCCCCCTCCCACGGATCGTCTTGCAAACAGCAACAGAAAATGCTAGGAATAACGACATTAATGTTGCCTTGCTGTGATTTTTTTGGTGTCGGGAGTTGCGAAGCAGCAGTTTTGGTGGTTGTATTTCAGCGCGGTCCCTTCAGCGCTTCGCTGTTTTATGGCAATGCAGCATTTAATTGCTTTGTCAGGGCTTGAAAGCAGAGTTTCTTACAGCTGATAGATGTGAAAAATGAGGGTTACAGGTGAGATCGTGCTCTGGTTTGATGAGATCGCAGCATGGGGTTTAATACAGTTCCTCGGTGGCTTAAAGAGGCGTCCAGGTGGATCCCGGCCACTGGAGCCAGTGAGAGGCCACCCCATTGCCAGGAGGGTGAAGGATTGCTTCATTTTGAGTTGTTTTCTTTAAAGAAAAAAAAGCAAATGTGCAAAACTGGTCAGGGTTTGCCAAAGTGGTTGCTTTGAAGTGTGTTTGTACCGGTCGGGAAGCGGGGCTGGAGCTGAAACCTGGTTATGCCCTGGTGATGAGGTTGGTGGGCACACCTCGGGGTTAACAGGATTTTAAATGGGGGTAAAGCAAAGCAAACAGGCAGAAATACTTTGAGGAGGCATCTTCAAGCGTTGGGGCTGAGAAGATGCGGTCAGTGGTGAATGTGGGCATCCTGAACATACCAAGCAGCATCGCCCACTGCACCCCAGTGCCTGTTCCCAGCTCAGGGCCGTGCTGAGCAGCGCTGGAGCCTTGTGTGACTTCTCCCCGCCTCTCTTCTGCACCCTTGCGCCCGTCCTCGCTGTGCTGGGCGGGGAAATGCTGCTCCGTGACCACAGCTGAGCGTTTCCACCTTCTCTTCCTGCAGTTGCTGGTGAGAAGAGGGTGCCCGTGATGCCCGGATCGCCCGTGGAAGTGAAGATCCAGTCCAGGTCCTCTCCTCCCAACATGCCACCGCTGCCCCCCGTCAACCCCGGCGGCCCCCGGCCCGTGTCCTTCACCCCGACTGCACGTAAGACCCCCGTAACGCTGCTTTGCCCAGCTCCAGGCAGGAGGAAAGGCTCCAGGGAGGTCTCAGCCATCAGCCAGGGCTGTGAGGAAGCAGGGACTGGGGTTTTCCTGCTGTTCTGCTCCGTATGCAGGACGTGTAACGGGGTCTGTAATCCCCCCCTATCTCCTGCCTGCACCTACCTGGCTCCCAGTGCTGCCTCGAGTCCTTCTTGCAGGTGCAGCCTTGATTTCTGCCATAAAGTCCTTAAGAAATGGAAGTCTTTTTATCAGGTCTGCTTCAAACGAGCCGAGGGCTGAGCTTTTCACTCTATCTTTTGGAGGAGTTAATTCCCACTCTGCTGTATCTCACTTTGCAGGCAGTGTTTCTGCAGCTGAGATTAAGAAGTTTTCCCTTTTTTTTAATGTCTCAGCCTCAGAAATTCCTCGCTCTCTGTCCAAATTCTCTTTTCTCCATCTTCTCTTTATCATCTTTCTCATTAAGTCGATCCTGGTCCTTTGCAGCCGTAGTGCAGGCTCATACTCACTTCTAGCAGAGCATTGTTCAGAGGTGACTCCACGGACCAGAGGGACACAGCCTTTTCTTACAGCCTAAAGCAGTCTTTTTTTTCTCCCTTAGCCAACTTTTAAGCCATTAAATGTCTTTAAAAAAGCATCACTCCAGAGCAAAGCTGCTCGACTTTGTTGGCCATGGAGTTATCCGACCCCAGCACGTTGCACGTGTGTATTTTCCAGGCTCTCCTCACCTCTTTCCCCCCATACTGAGCATCTCCCTGGCTGGTTCTGCGCTGCTTTGCTGTCCATGGCAGTGTCTGGGATCTCTCGCAGTTTCCTGCTGGCAGTGGATTTTGGAGATTTCCAACCCAGCCCCTTTCAGGACACACGCTGATGTCTTGCACAGTGCTGGCAATGGGTTATCCTGCCAGACACATTGTCCCCATCTTTATACGCTGAGGGGTTTTTAATGGCTCTCCTTTCGCTAAGGCAGAAAAAGACCATTAGCAAAGTGACAGAAATTAATTTTTCCAATGAGGTTGCTTGGCACGCTGCTAAGGGCCAAGGAGGCTGAATCTGCTGATTGCAAATGGCTTAATTGTCTCTTTCCAGGAGAGATGAGAGATGCAACCTGTGGTGAAGCCCGTTCTTGCCTTTTTTATGTCTCGGCTGTGCCAAAAGGTCTTGGCTGGGGTCAGTGGGTGTGTGCCCTGCCTCGTAACAGCCCGTGGCGAGGAGGAGCACGCTGGAGGAAGGCCATGCCTGCCTGCAAATCGCTTTTAAAAGGGTTTTTTACAGAATCACAGAATTGCTCGGTTGGAAAAGCCCTCTGAGATCATCACGTCCAACCGCTCCTGTCTACCCCCTAAACCATATCCTTAAGTACCTCATCTACCCGCTCTTTAAACACATCCAGGGATGGTGACTCCACCACCTCCCTGGGCAGCCTGTGCCAGCTTCTGACGACCCTCTCAGGAAAGAACTTCCTCCTTATCTCTGACCTGAACCTCCCTTGGCACAGCTTGGTGCCGTTTCCCCTTGTTCTATCCCCCATCACCTGGGAGAAGAGCCCAGCACCCACCTCTCCACAACTTCCCTTGAGGCAGTTGTAGGTGGTGATGAGGTCTCCCCTCAGCCTTCTCTTCTCCAGGCTAAACAAGCCCAGTTCCCTCAGCCGCTCCTCATCAGGCTTGTTCTCCAGAGCCCTCCCCATCCTTGATGGATTGGAGTTGGGTTGGGTTGGTGTTGGAGTTGGGTTGGAGCAACGGGAAAAGCCTTCACCTACTGAGGAGCTAAGGCAGGCTTTAACAGAGCAGCCTGTGATGCTGGCTTTTCTGTTCCCGAGAATTCAACATCCTTTCCCCACAGCAGTAATCCCTCTGGTCTTGGTGCACCACGCTTGCTTTGGCACTGTCACCTCCCCAGGAAGGGAGGGTCACAGCCCGGCCCTGTGGTGTGTGGCAGTGCAGATCCCAGTGATGCACAGGATCTGGTAACTGCCAGCCCCATGGTGCTGCTGTTTGCAGGAGGGTCAGGCAGGGCAAGCCTAAAAACACAGTGGCTGCGGGGGCTGTGTCTGACAGCCACCCCAAACCAACCCATGGCATCACCCGAATCCCTCGGCCTCTGCCGCTGCCACCCCCCAGCCCCCTGGGTGCACAGCCCCTGCTTCTCCCAGGGTATAAACAGAGCTCGTGGATCTCCCTGGTCTTTGAGCTGAAAGCATAAGAGGAAGCGAAACAGAGAAGGGGTAAAGCGCCTTGGTCGCAGCCTCTGGAGAGTGCAGAGTTGTGCAGGCCGTTGCTGTTTGAGAGGAGCTGCTCTGGGTGGGTTTTTCCCTTTATTTATAACACTTCTGTTGCAAAATGAATGCTCTTTATGAGCTCTGTGTTTGCAGGTACCGCATGGTAGCTACCCCTGCTGCAGGTTTGGGAAAGCCAGCGTGGATGGGAGTTTTGCTGTCCCATTGCTCCAGAACAAAAGGCACAAGCTCTCTTTTCTCCTCTCAGTCCTGGCCTTCACCTTCACCACCTCCCTGTCTGTGTAAGGACGTGTCTGTTACGCCCCAGAAGAACCCTGGTTAGCAGGAACCACCTTTGAGGGTCTCTTCAGCCTTATCTTTCCCTTGCATCTTAACTGACTCGGGTTCATCTTCGCGGCTCCCCTCACCGCAGCAGGTCCAGGTGTGTGGAGCCTTTCCAGCCTCTGACCCTCGCACCCCAGAGCGGTTTAACTGCTCGAGCACCTCCTGCCTTTTTTCTCTGAAAAGCCTTTCCCAGGCTGGTGAGGGTTTGGTGTTGATCCTTGCGAAGCTGCAGCGGAAATTTTGGCATATTTTTTTTTTTGTTGTTGCAAACCGCTGCACCTTCCCCTGCTATAAAAATGGGTTTTATGGCCTGTGGCCTTCTCTTCACTGCTTGCATCCGTAAGGAATGCAGGGCTGGGCTTTTAAGGATAATCCAGTGGATCAGCCCAAACTATCTTTAGGATGATGTACTTTTCACCTCTGAAAATCTGGGTTTGTACTGAGCTGGGGCCCCCACGCACAGCTGCTCTTCGGACAGGGCTCGGGGTTGCACAACAGGGATGTCAACAGTTTATTCTGATCCTTTGCCAAGCTCCCAAACTTCCAGCCCTTGGATCTATTTCGACATGCTCGCCGCTTCCAGGAGGCGAACTCGCAGATGGGACCAGGTTGGACAAAACCCAATCACGTTTGCAAAACTCCCTGTAAATCCCCGGGGAGGTGCAGCGGGGTGCCAGGACACTGTCAGCCCTCCTTGGGGTGAGGTGGAGACACCGGAGCTGCAGGGCCATAGCCCCTCTGCTGCTCCTTGCCCTGTTTGCAGGCTCTGGGGTGGAAGATGAATCCTCCAAAACACCAGTAACGCTTCTGTCTCTTATTTGCAGTTCCCAATGGAATAAACCATTCCCCTCCAACGCTGAACGGGGCCCCGTCCCCACCGCAGAGGTTTAGCAACGGTCCTTCCTCCTCCTCCTCCTCCTCGCTGACCAACCAGCAGCTCCCGGCCACGTGCGGCGCCCGGCAGCTCAGCAAGCTGAAGCGCTTCCTCACCACCCTGCAGCAGTTTGGCAACGACATTTCGCCAGAGATCGGGGAGAAAGTCCGGACCCTCGTCCTGGCGTTAGTGGTAAGCCCTGCACACCGACCCAGGTCACTTTGGTGATGGGATCCTGGCCCACGTTACACAATAGTGTCTGTTTGTGTCCTTATAACAGAGCTCTCGACTGAGAGAGGCTCTGTAGTGTTTAATGCCTTCTGCTGAACTTACTGATGGGTTTTTTTGCCTTGCCTTCAGTGGGTTTCGTAAAGCTGTTTGTCCAGTGGCTTTGGCATAAGCTTGGCTCAAACTGAGCTTAAAACTTGGCAGGATTTGGACTAAGCCTTTCTATGAAGGCCACAGGTCTGGTGCCATGGGCCATGCTGGGCTTCTCCATTTCCTCTCGTAAAGGAAACTTCACACGTTTGGCAGTTTTTCTACCAGGGAAGTGATTTGTTGCTCGTGCAGATTTGATTGCCTGATCCTGACCATGCTTCCATGCAAAAAAAAGTCAGTCCCAGCCACTGCTTTGTTAGTGTCCTGACCTCAGTGTGCTCAAGCTCAAGGCTGCTTTGCTCTGCAAGGCAGGGTGCAGTGGTAAAAGCAAGGGTGCTGCTCAGGAACAGGGTCTTGGTGCTGGCGGGGACTCAGTCCAGAAACCTTGTAGTGCTTCTCAACTCTCAAGTGTGTAGAGAAGACCATGACACTTCAAAGATGTCATTTATGATGGCAGTGGTGAACATGGGCTGTGTTTAAAGGGCTTTTTTCGCCTTTATGGGCTGCTCCTACCAGGCAGCCTGGATTGTTTCTGCTTCCAAGGTTAACATGGGGGTGTCCACAGCCCTGGGAGCGTTCATGGGGCTTGAGCACTGGGTGCAAAACGCTGCAGGTGAAGCAGGCAGGTGTATCTCTATTTCCATGGGTGCAGGGTAGTGTTTTAGCTTACCCTTTTGGCAAGGACATGATAAGCTGTCAGGGTTCCTCTGACTGCTGTTCTCAGGGTGCAGGAGATGCTGGCTGGGTCCTGCTGCCTCCCAAAACCGGGCCCTGCCTCCCAGCACCGGCACTGGGAGGATGCTGGGCAGCAGCGTTCACCCCTTCCCTAGGGCAGCATTCGAACTCCATTGGCCTGAGTGGTTTTGGCTGCATCAGCCAGGATCAAACATTGTCAGTCGGGTAGTGGCAGATGCAGTCTCCCTTCCAGCTCTGTTCAGTTGGAGCCGTTTCCCACGTGTCTAAAAATAAGAACAAATTGTCATTTCATTTCCTAATTTCTCTTCTCAGAACTCCACGGTGACAATCGAGGAATTTCACTGCAAGCTGCAAGAGGCGACGAATTTCCCCCTGCGGCCGTTTGTGATCCCCTTTCTGAAGGTGACGGGGAGCTGGGGGGGTTGCTGATGCTCCGTGTGCCAGCCTGTGCCGCTTGGCAGCGCGTCACGGCTGGGAAAGCTGGCGTTTCGAGTACCCCGTGGTTTCTGAACAATTTTGTTCAGGTCCAAGACAGACTGCACAGACCGTGGCGGTGGCCATGTGGAAAGCCAGTGTTATAACAAGTGCCACATATGTCTGCTTGCCTGTTAGGGGTAAAGGAGACAAACCGAGCTCTGCTCAATGTCTTCTGATGCTGTAATCTTTCTTTGCAAATGTTCCCACCTAGAATATTTGAGGTGCTGGCGTAGGGAACGTGTGTGGGGTGGTTGGATGCTGGAAGCCCAGAGCGCTTCCTGTCACCCTTGGTTTTTTAGGGGCACCATCCTCAGCTCTTGAGAAAATACAGGTAAATGTGACAGCGCAGACACCAGGAGCCGTTGGATCTTGAACGGGGGCTATGGCTGTTACTGCTCTGTGGGATTACGTGCAGAGCAAACCTGCAAGTGGCTGGAAGCTCCTGCCCCTCAGCCTGCGTCAACCAGAGCTGTGCTTGCTTTGCAGGCCAACCTGCCCCTGCTGCAGAGAGAGCTGCTGCACTGCGCCCGCGCTGCCAAGCAGACGCCGTCCCAGTACCTGGCGCAGCACGAGCACATCCTGCTCAACACCAACACCGCGTCCCCCGCCGACTCCTCCGAGCTGCTGATCGAGGTGAACGGCAATGGCAAGAGGCACAGCCCGGACAGGTAAAGCAACAGCTTTAGTCACTCTGCCAAGTCCTTGAAGTCGTGATTTTTTGTTTCAACTTTGCTGTCAAAGCTTCAGGCAGCATCCAGGGCTAAACCATAGGATCTTGTCACTCCCAACAACCGGTCTAGCTGTTAATAAGACACCAATAATTGCTCCTCCTGCACCAGGAATTCAGGTTGCGATCCTCTTTTGGGCAGGGTCTGTCCCAGGGAGGGATTTGTTGGGTAGCACTGAAGATCCTGAGCTGCAGAGCTGAGCGAGCGGGGGTGCTCTCAGGGCTGGGAAGAATGCGGTTCGTTTTCACCACTTATTAAATTCCAAGTTAAAAGTTGTTATGCAATTATGTGGAGCGTGCCTCAAATTGATCAAAACTGTGAAATCTTCATTTGGTCACGCTCGGGAGGATGAATCACTTTGCTCGGGCACCTTGAACTTTTCCTTTTGACGGGGTCGCTTTGTGGATTTGCTCACAAGTGGAGCAAGTTTGCTTTAGCTCCTCACCTTTACCCCCTGCTAAAATCATCCCTGCCCAAACTCTGCTGACTCAAAATCTGCATTTTCCCCTTTCCAAGGATGTTTATGGGGTGCTAACAAACGTCTCTCTGTGCCGCTGTGGTTGCAGGAGGGAAGACAGCAGCTTTGAGAGGGAGCCGCTGCCGACGGAGCCTCCAGCCAAGAGGGTCTGCACCATCAGCCCCGCGCCCCGACACAGCCCGGCCCTGGCGATCCCCCTGATGAACCCTGGGGGGCAGTTCCATCCCACCCCGCCGCCCCTCCAGCACTACACCTTGGAGGATATCGCCACTTCCCACCTCTACAGGGACCCCAGCAAGATGTTGGAGCACCGAGAGATTCGGGACAGGCACGGGGGTCTTGGTGAGAAAGCCTTGGGGGGCTCTTAGTTGTAAAATTGTAGGATCATTTAGGTTGGAAAAGACCTCTAAGATCATCGAGTCCAACTGTTAACACTGCCAACTCCACCACTAAACCACGTCCCTCAGTGCCACATCTGCTTGTATTTTAAATACCCCCAGGGATGGTGACTCCGCCACTGCCCTGGGCAGCCCCTTCCAGCGCTCGACAACCCTTCTGGCAAAGAAATTGTTCCTCAGATCCAATCTAAACTTCCTCTGGTGCAACTTGAGGCCGTTTGCTCTTGTCCCATCACTTGTTACTTGTTACCAACCCCACCTTTCTACCCCTTCTTTTCAGGGAGCTGTGGAGGGTGATAAGGTCTCCCCTCAGCCTCCTTTTCTCCAGGCTACACAACCCCAGCACTTGGCCTTGCTTCATCCCTAGGCCAGGGCCCTGGAGTCTGGATTGGCCCTGGAGCCCAGATCCCTTCCAGAGGCTGGGTTTCAAGGTTTGGTTGGTTGTAGAGTGAAGGTGGTGTTGGTGCAGTCATTTCTAGAGCAGGTATGGATTCTGGAGCTGAGGTTTGGTAGCGAGGTGGCTCTAGATTGGGTTTTGGGTCACTTTGCTGGTCTAGAGCAGGTCCTAGGTCAACACATGGCTCCATTCTATCCTTATATACCTTAACATTTCCTAGCAGTTCAACACCTGAGACAACACCTCTCCCACCAGCCTTTGTGTATGCAAATGACCAAGTAGAAATGGCAATCATGTCTAACCAATGACAATTACTGTAATGACTTCATCAATCCAGACATCAGGTTCCAGGGACAGACCCACCTACAACATCAGGGCTTCTCCTCCCAGAAGATGAGCCACGAAACACCCACAAAAGTTGGGGTGCAGCCCTGGCTGCTGAAACTTCTCCTTGAGGGCCTCGCACTCACACGTTGTTTTAGGTGAATGTGACCCACACACACACACAGAGGCTTTGGGAAACAAATAGGGGTCCTTGGATGGCCCAAGGACTGTGCAGTCATGGGTGGAAGTCGATGACACTGAAGGCATCCCTGGGATGCCAGGTGAAATGTTGACTGGTACTCGTAAATCCCTCACCTGGCTGTGGTTTGCTGCAGGTTTGAATGGAGGATACCAGGACGAGCTGGTGGACCACCGCTTAACGGAGAGAGAGTGGGCTGACGAGTGGAAGCACCTCGATCATGTAAGGATCTTCTCGTTGTTGGTACCACAGCCAGGCTTTCCCAGTGGCTTTAGGGGGCCAAGCCACCGGAGAGTGGATGGTGGGGAGGGCAGATGGGAGCACAGCACTTTCCTGGTGCGTTTTCTCTGCCCGTGGTCAGTGGAGGACAAAGCCGTTCTGGATGCAGTGTCTGGAGCTGGGAGCTCTGCAGAGCAGGGCCGTGTCCTGCCCGAGCAGCCAAACCCCACCTGGACTCTGCACAGGTCTTTCCTGCAGCAGGCCAGGCCAGTGCTGTGCTGATAAATGTTCAGATGTGCTACATGCAGCAAGGATCTCAGTTTGCAGAACAAGTAAACCTATCATTATTTTGTTTAAAGACTTTCTTTCCTGGGCTGAGGCCTTTTATGGGCCTCAAGTAGGTACCAACAGCAAGAGCTGGGTCTTTCTGCAGTCTGGTTTTTCCTCTGAGCAAGTCCATGCACTTCATTGGAGCGTTTCCCCCAGAGATATGGGATTGAGATCCAGCTTTGATCACCCATGCAGAGAGACCCCATGCTTGTTTATGCTCTAAAGTGGATGTTTTGGGGGTGGGGGTGTGGAGTAGAGGCCCCGTAGCTCAGTTGGGATGTGGCTATGAGAGCTGGCACCAGGATTGCAGCCAGCTCTTGCATGGACACCCTGTTCCCATAGGAAAATGGGGTGTTTTCACGTCCACCTTTAGAAACGTGGCCCTGAGCCTCCTATGGTGACCAGAGCCCCATGGTGTGGGTGTGATCACCTCCTTCCTGACCTGTGCTGCTCAGCATCGCTGTTACATGTGTGGCTACAGAACCCAATCTTAACTCTGAATACATAAAGGGTGAGTGTCACGAGGATGGAGCCAGGCTCTTCTCGGTGACAAACAATGATAGGACAAGGGGTAATGGGCACAAACTGGAACACAGGAGGTTCCACTGAAATTGAAGAAGAAACTTCTTCTCAGTGAGGGTGACAGAGCCCTGGCCCAGGCTGCCCAGAGAGGTTGTGGAGTCTCCTTCTCTGCAGACATTCAAAACCCGCCTGGACGCCTTCCTGTGTAACCTCATCTGGGTGTTCCTGCTCCGGCAGGGGGATTGGACTGGATGAGCTTTTGAGGTCCCTTCCAATCCCTAACGCTCTGGGATTCTGTGAATACCACATCAGCCAAAACACTGAGCTCAGAGCCTGCTCCTGCGACGTGACCTTGCATTTCATCTTCCTGGGCTGGTCCCTATGGTACCTAGGATGAGAAATTGGAGTGATGCTGACCTCACCAGCAGGGGCGGCTCACGAAAGCGCATTTCCTCCCCACAGGCGCTGAACTGCATCATGGAGATGGTGGAGAAGACCCGGCGCTCCATGGCCGTGCTGCGGCGCTGCCAGGAGGCCGACCGGGAGGAGCTCAACTACTGGAAGCGGCGCTGCAGCGAGACGGCGGAGCCACGCAAGGCGGGCGCTGAGCTCCTGGCCAGGCAGCACAGCCCCAGCAGCTCCGACTCCATCGGCAGCGGTGAGCGAGGGTGGGCGCGCGGTGCCGGGGCCTCGTTAAGTAGGTGTCTAATTGCGGCACGGCTATATTAGGCATAAAGCCATGTATGAGAATGTATTCCAGTCCGGATATAAATTAGATGCTTAAGCAGTGCGTGGCTGTTATCAAAGCCTTGAAGGGAGACAACTCGTTGCTGATATCTCAGGCACCTTTGGGCAGCAGCAGCACTTTCTGGTGCCCGGATTTGCGCTGTGGCAGAGCCAAACCCAACCAAACTGACCCAAGGTCCCTCAAAGCTGAGACACCAGGGGGTGCAAAGGCAGGAGAAGGTGGTTGCTTCCACCCCTGTCCCCCTCCGGTCTCTTCCCTAAATGATTTAAAATGCCAAGGTCTGCTAATTCTAAAAATACCAAAGGCTGCTGTAAGTGTAGGAGCTGCTACCTGTGTTATTAATTCTATTTTTGTATTATGAGTCAACTTCACTTCATTAAAGGTGGTTATTTTTCCCCTCCAGTATGCAAGGGGTTTGACTCTGTTCTAAAAACCCCAAGTTTTAGGCATTTGGATGTAATTGTAATTGCTGTCCAAACGAATAGGCTGCAAATCAAAAACTGGGGGGAGAAAAAAACCCCTGATCGTTCAATAATAAAATATTCTTGTTAGAAAATACCCATAAATGTCAAACTAAAAATCTCAATTTTATATATATTTGGCTTTTTTGGGTAGAAAATAGAGGGAGTCCTCTTGCATGTCAAAAAGAACCACCCAAGTCAGAGCCCAGCCCAGGTTTAGCTGCATCTGAACGAGTTTTCATCGTCCCCAGACAGCAAGAACGAGTATTTCCTGGGAAAACAATGACAAGTGCACCAGCAGAGGGAACTGAAATAGGATTTACTAATCCAAATTGCTCAGAAATGAAGCACCTGTGGCTCCAGATGTGAGTGCAGAGCAAGGTGCAGCGAGCCCATGGGGTGGTTGGGCACAGCCAGCTTTCAGCCCTGCTGTATTTAATTATAATCATGACCAATATACTTACACCCCATGTTAAAGGTGGAATAATTCAATTTTTCTTCTATAAATTGGGGATGTTGGTGATGCTTCCTCCCCTTGTGGGACCTAGGGCTGATTTTCAAGCTTATGATGTAAACTGGCGATAGAGATCGATGCTCAGAGTCACTGGGCAGTGCAGATGCTGGATGGTGTATCTTTAGCAGCATTGCCTGTTGTTATAGAGTACAGGAAATGGCTTATACGGTGTCATAAATTATGCAAGACACTAATTAAATGCTGTAATTTATCATCTGAGCGTTTGATGGCTTTAAATACAGGAATCCTCTGCTCTGAGCCCTAGCTGGTTAATTCTGCCCTGCTCCATGATGCACCGCTGGGCTCTGGAGCAGCAGATGAGGCTTCACCAACCTTTCCCCGTGTCCCTTTTTCCAGCAGATTCATTGCGGGAGTTCAGCAGCCGGTCGGGAACGGGCTACGTCACTGAGGAGATATGGAAAAAAGCCGGTGAGTGTTTGCTCGTAGCCTTGGCGAGGGCTTCGGCCGCGTCGCCTGGGGGGAAACGCAGATGCTGCAGAGTTGCTCTGCAGAAACCCAGCTGCAGCAACGCCCCAGGGTGTGCACGGCTGCGCTGCCAAAGCCCCCGGCCTGCGCTTCCCAAAGGGCTCAGCTCCTTCTGTGCGGTGCCAGTGGGGATCCCATGGGTCCCGCTGCTCCCAGGAGTGGTGGTGGTGATGCTGACAGCGACCCACGGCTGTCGGAGGCTCGGCCCCTGCCTCAGGCTGGAGGGTGAAGCTGCTCTTTTCTTCCAGAAGAAGCCGTGAACGAGGTGAAGCGCCAGGCCATGTCCGAGGTGCAGAAAGCGGTGGCAGAGGCTGAGCAGAAGGCGTTTGAGATGATCGCCTCCGAGAGGGCTCGGATGGAGCAGACCATCGCGGACGCCAAGCGCCAGGCCACCGAGGACGCTTTCCTGGTGATAAACGAACAGGAGGAGTCCACGGAGGTGAGGAGCAGGGCACGTCCTAGGAAAGGCTTCTCAAAGTCTCCAGGTCCTGCCCAGCAGCGGCTCAGAGCCTGCGGGTCCCCCATCCCTTTTCCTTTTAGAAATCCCTCTCCAATCAATATCTAAATGAATGTTTATACCATAAAAAGAACACTTTTAGATATAGCTGACAGGGGACTCAGCCTATGGCTCAGACCCTGCAGGTCCCCCATCCCTTTTCCTTGTAGAAATCCCTCTCCAATCAATACCTAAATGAATGTTTATACCATAAAAATAACATTTTTAGATATAGCTGACAGGGGACTCAGCCTAAATGGTGTCTGCAGCACCCACGTGTGCCCAACAACTGGGTGAAGGCACCACTGGGAGCCGTGAGCTGGTCCCAGTGCAACTACCAGGGATTTGCTGGGGTTGAGGGAGGTGTGGAAGAAAAGGGGGGGATGCCAGTGGGTGCAGCTCTCGGTTTAGCTGAGAAATCTGCTGTTGTGGGGTGCTTGATGTGTGCAGAAAAGGAATTGCTGTTTGTGGGCTTGAAAACAGTGCAAGAGCAGAGGCTTTTGTTTCTGCTGAGCAAGAACCTGATGGGAAGGGGGAGTTTGTGTCTGCTGGGACTGTGTGGGGCTGTTTCCCCCTTCCTGAGGGGTCTCTGTCCCCGCTGCTGGGCAAGGTTTGGTGCCGGGGTCCCTGTGCACAGCAGGAGCCACGTAAATACGAGGTGGTGTTAGAGATCTGCGTCCATCCTATTTCCTGATTAAATTGCTGAAGGCTGAATGCACACATGGTGGGAGTGGGTGGAACAGCTCGAGCATCCGTGGAAGAGATGAGCCAAGGAAATGATTTCTTCATCGGGGAGCACCAGAGGAGCATCCTCCTCCTCTTCCTCCTCCTCCTTCATCCCAGGGAGCAGCCGAGCATCCCCTGCTGGTGCCAGCCCCATCTCCCCAGCACCCAGAGCTCTGCTGTAAAGGCCACGTTGAAAAGCTGTCACATCTTCTGGCAGGCTGCGTAACCTTTGAAACGGGGTTTAAAACACTTCTTGAGGTGTACACAGCTGTAAGGCAGTGACCCACTTTTCCAAGTTACCGCAGGGTGCAGTGGGGGTTTTTTTTTGGGTGGCAAGTCCTGCTTTTTGGTCAAAAGGAGCCTCGGGGATGCGCTGGCTCTGGAGCAGCTTGCTCCTGACCGGCTCGCTTTGGTGCTTTGCTGTTCACCATAAATCATCACCAGGAGCTTTTGGCTCTGGTGCAGCTCCCAGGAGCAGGGAATCTTCCTGCGACGGGGCTGTCTGGTACCGGTCAGCATCTCCCGTGCGTTTTGCTGGTGCTGGCAGCAGCACGGTGCCCCGATGGGCAGCACTGGAGGCAGAACCTGCCTTCCCACAGCCGAACCTGCCCTCCCTGCCCTGCGGTTGCTGCTGCCTGGTTCCAGCTGTGGGAGATGCTCATCCCCCTCGGAGCAGCTGCGGCCGCAGCTCCCAGCGCTGGCCCCGTGCCCCGGTGAGGCCGCGGTGGCAGCCGTGAGCCCAACAGCTGCCACCTCTCCCGGCGGCCAAAGGGGCTTTGCTCCTCGTCCAGATTGGAGCCTGGGCTCTGGGAGCACTTCCACTTGGCTCAGAGGCTTTCAAACGAGCTGCTCTCGTTTCCAAATGTGCCCGCTCCCACCTCTGGTGCAGCCAGGGAGGGTGCAGAGCAAGCGGTGCCCGTGCAGGGCACTGAAATCCCCGCGGGGAGCGCTCGGCTGGGAGCGGTACCAAAACATTGCTGCTT